GCCCGCGGCCCTGACGGTGCATGTGTCCCCGCAGGTGGAGGGCGTTTTCTACGTGAACGACCCGCTGGAGAAGCTGATGTTCGAGGAGCTGCGCAACGCGTGCCGCGGCGGAGGTGCGGGCCGCGCCGGGCCGGGGGTGCCCCGCTCCCGGGGCCTGCGCCACGGCCTGCAGCTTCTCCTTCCTCTCTTTCCTTCCTCTCTTTCCTTCCCTCTCAGGTGCGGGAGGCTTCTTGCCTGCGATGAAGCAGATTGGGAATGTGGCAGCGTTGCCTGGCATCGTTCATGTGAGTAACTGCTCTAAAAAACATGGCTTTTCCCCTCTCAGTTGCCGGAGACCATCACCTCCCGTAGGGGAAGGTCTCTGCTGTGGCAAAGACGGCCCTGGAATGAGCTCGGGTCCCTGCCTGATGCATTAGAAACTGGTCTCTGAGTTAGGGGTAATTGCAAGGCCAATTCATAAAATTGATTTGGTAAAAGTGGAAATATCCATTAATATTGCCAGTTAACACTTAAGTCTTCCTAACTTTGCTTTTTGCTGCTTATTTTTCTTGAGCATCTTCTCTGCACAACTTGGACTGTTTATTTGTTGTACTTAAGTGGTGTCTTCTAACCTGTGGTAGAATGGGGAGAGAGAAGGGGAGTTTGCATTTTTTTTTTGCCTTTCATTGTGTCATAAGTTAACACTACACTGTGTAGGTTACTCTGTAGGTTTGTGGTGGTTTTTTTTCCTCAAGTTAATTGCGTTTTAATAGAGCAAATGAGAATCAAAGAAAAAAAGCCGCTGATCGCAGAAAAAAAAGGTGAAAATGATGTTTGTTACATTTCCCCTTAGCTTTCAAAACTTGTCGCTCTTCAGTTTCTCTGCAATGTGAGTTTCTTGGTGTTAGCAGGAGCCCTTCATTCTGCTAATACAGTCATGTTCATGCCACAGGGATGGCAGGAATATGATATTGGTCTTCTGCATAGCTCCCAAGCATTAGAAGTTTTTGAAACAAATTTGTGTCCTGGGTATGGTGTGGAAAAACTAGCCAAGAAACCCTCCTTGGGTAGGAGAAAGGTTTGAAGGCAACTGGGATTCCGTTTGACCCTCTGTGTGTTGGAATATTTAAGGTTTTAGTACTGGCAAAGCCTGTGAAGTATGTGTAGTCTCAAGAGGTTTCCCGCTAAGACTGTTCAGGCTCGAGGAGATGCCACACTTGCACTTCTCTTGTGTATATGCAGTGGAGATTAAATTAGACTCTCCCTACTGAGTTTAATTTGAGTCATTAGGGTGTCCGAGGTGAACTTGCTGCCCATTTGAGTTATTTCTTAATTCTTTCACCCTTTTGGTAGAAATCCAGCCTTTCCCAGTATGTAGGGGTAAAAGCTCAGTAGCAGTTTGCTTTTCTTTGTATCCCAGGCAAGCTCTTTCAGTAAATCCTATTGAAAAGTAAGTGTGGTGCTAAGGTTACTGATTTTATTAAGAGTATATTTTGTCTTTAGAATAAATATTCTAGGTTAAGGCAGACTATATGTTAAATCCTTGCTTTAGCTTGGCAGCTTACTGCTTTTTGTCCTTGCTTTCAGTCTGATCTTGTCATCTGCAGTATTAACCTAATATTGATAGTGACCCTTCCTGGGTATTTGGCACTCCTTTCCTTTGTCCCAAGTGCTTTGAAAATTAAGCATCCTAGTAGGCTGGATAGCATTTCAAGAAACTAAATGCAATGTGAAAGTCATATTTAGTATTATTTATATCAATAAGTAAAGATCATTGGAAGGATTTTTTATTGCTTTTTGGTTATTTGACAAAAGGTCAGAATTTCATGCTGCAGTTAAACGCTGTTTTGCTGCTTTAAAATATTTAAAGATAAACATTAAATGAAATATTCTAAAAAAGTTAAATTATTTTAATAGTCAACTAAAAAGGAGGTAAGAGAGGAGAACAATAACCTGTTCAAGTTAGTGCTGCCAGGAGATATCTTTGCAATGGTAAGGGGAGGCAGAAGCATCACATGATTGCCTGAAAATGACTTTTTTGTTGTACTGCTTGATTAACGATTGACACATAACTGAAAAGTTCAAATTTGCAATAGTGTTCTGAGTGTTTGTTAAGAGATTGTGGTGTCCTAATGTAAGTCTGTCTGGTTAGATATGCTTTGAACTATTTTGTGCAGGAACATGCCCTTACTTTCTTTAACTAGTAGTGGTAAGAAAAAGATGTGTGTAAATTTTTTTTTTTTCAAAATAAAATGGTTTGGCTGCTATCTGTTGCATGACTTTTTCTTGCCTGCAGGGTGCAATCTTTGGCCAGTGTTCAATTACGCATCTAAAAATGGAAAATGCTGACATGATCTCATTCTATAACATTGATCTCCTCCCTTGTTACACTTGCACTACTGCAAGTTGTAGATTCCTCTTGATAAACTTGATAGAGCAATAAAAGATAGGATTGTCTTTGAGTTTGCATCATGCTACTCCCACAAATATGAGGATTCTGTATCCAAAAAAAAGCTAGGCTGAAATTCAGTTCGATTTTAAGTTTCCTAGATTTAGGTGTCCGAGCTGTTAAGGTTTCTTGAAATCTGGTCAATGGAGTCAAGACCATGACTCAGCTGACTTGTTTCTGGGTGTTTACTTCAGGGAGAGTGAACTGCTCTCTGCTTCCTTTGACTAAATTGGCCAGATTTCCCTTAAGGGTGTATGTTTGGATGCCTACTTGAATTGTTTATCTGCGTTTTCACCTGTGACAACCATTGTCACAAGGTCAAGCATAACTAAGATGAATGTCTGCAGCCCAGAGTTTCATAAGACTTTAAAATGTGCTTCTTCCTCTTGCAGAGATCTATAGGCCTCCCAGATGTGCATTCAGGCTATGGATTTGCCATTGGCAACATGGCAGCCTTCGATATGAATGATCCCGAAGCAGTGGTGTCGCCAGGTAAGGGAGCCTCAGGACTCACTCAGTCTGCACTGAGAAATATCTCTGGTGGCTTCAACACTTTTTGGAATGCCAGGTATCTACAGTGATTTACAGCTCAGACTGGGGAGGGGGAAAAATATGTATATATAGTAGTTAAAAGATTCTTGCACCCTGGAACCTTATGCTTTATGGAGCCTGTAGTTGCACTGGAGGAAAAAAAAAAAACTCTAAACCTGCAGACAGGGTTGCCCTCATCAGTCTGGCTTGGGGGGTGTGATATACTCAGTGAATGTGGGTTTGGCTAGGCAGATAAAGAATTGATTTTTTTTCTTCAACAAAACCACTGTTTAGAATATTTCTACACTTTATTAAAAATGTGTCCTTAATATTTCTGTCTTTTTTTAAAAAAAAAAACTTCAGATTTTCATTGCTGGTGATGTTTGGAGAGGCTTTTGCTCTTGTAACTGATAGCTGTTTTGGGTTTACTCTAGGCAATTCCGCTGTTCCCAAGTGATTCAAACTCAAAGTTCCCTTAGTCTGGTAACCAGTCGCTGACACTGGTTAGTATCAGATGTCTTACTGGCAAAGTTGATGTAGTTGATCTTCTATACCAGGCCATGTTTTGCAGTCATTCTTTTTTCTTTCTTTTAGTACTTAGAATCAACTTAAATGCTAAACAATGTTTAGTATCCATATAATAAGCAACAACGTATTATACCTAGTAAGTATTTATTGCTGGGTTTAACTAGTTGTTACTTATTCCAGTGAAGTTTCAAAAAGGACTAACCTGCAGGGGTTTGCTTCAGGAACTTGCTACCTGAGGAAGCTATGCTCAGATTTCCAGCGCAAATCACTTCCCTTAGGCAGGAGAACAGCAACCACCCACCTAGTTTTTTAAGCCATATATGCTTTGCAGATATGTATGCATGCATATATACATCTGCAGATGTGTCTTTTCTTTTGTCTTTGTTCTTTTGTCTTCTTGCTGGAGCAACTTGTAAAATGAAAGCTCTGAATTGTACAGCTGTGTTTGCAGAGCATTTGCAGGAGACACTAAAATAGTATTGTTAAGAGTTCCAGGTTTACTTTTTCTTCAGGATTGCATTTTTGTCTGTCTTGGCATCTGAGGGCTTCATGCAACCTTATTAATGTGAAGCTTAATGCAGTTGTTCTGCTTTATTCCCAGTATTGTGTCAGAGAGGGCATCAGATCTCAGCATTTGGTACACGCTGCCTGTCAGGAAGCTTACTGATAGAAGATGAGTGCAGCAAAAGGTGCCATGCGCAAACTTACCCTACGAAGGCTGTGGCTTTTTCCACACTCGTAGGTGGTGTCGGGTTTGACATCAACTGTGGTGTCCGCTTACTCCGTACAAATTTGGACGAAAGTGACGTACAGCCTGTGAAGGAGCAGCTTGCCCAGGCTATGTTTGACCACATTCCTGTTGGTGTGGGCTCCAAGGGTGTGATCCCCATGAATGCCAAGTAAGAGAAGGGCTTTACCTGTCAGCAGAGGGTACCTCTGGTGTTTATTTTGAGAAAAGATTGATCAGTGGGAGACTTCAAGAAAGAGAAAAAATTGAAACCCTTTCCTGTTTTGTCTACATGTGTACTTCACTAGGAGAACTGTGAGAAGGTGTAGTTGTTAAGACACAAAGTCAACATCTCTTTTCCTCATTTAAAACTCCAAAGTATTTAAGGTTCTTGAAGAGTTTTTGCTTCCCTTAGACCTCTTTAAATGTAGAGCTATTTTTGGAAAGGAGTGAGAGGGAGAGAAAGTTAGTTATCTGCTGCACAAAAAGGAAAAAAGTAATAACCTACCCAGTGTTTTTTTTACCATGTTAATGTCTTTGTAGACATTAATAAAGTGGCAAGAAGCCAGACTTTTTATTAGAGGAGTTGGGATCGGATTATAAAATCAAAACAATTTAGGTTGGAAGGGGCCTGATCCAAGTTCCTACTTAAAGGACAGTTAACTCTAAAGGTAGGTCCAGCTACAAAGTTAGATCAGATTTCACAGGGTCAAATCCAAGTGATGTTTGAATATTTCCAAGGATAACACGCGTGTGGGTGTTTGATAATTGCAGGGATTTGGAAGAGGCTCTAGAAATGGGGGTGGACTGGTCTCTCCGGGAAGGCTATGCCTGGGCAGAGGACAAGGAGCACTGTGAGGAGTATGGAAGAATGCTGCAGGCTGATCCCAACAAGGTTTCCTCAAGAGCAAAGAAGAGGGGCCTCCCTCAGGTAATGTTACACCTCAACAGAGGGAGCTCTCTAATACTGTGTCTTTTCTTGAATTCTGTTTTGCACTACTGGGCAAGGGGAAGGTGGAATAGTGAGGCAGTTTCTGAGAAAATCTTGACAGAATTGAGAGAGGGAAACAGCAAATATTGGGCAGCCTTTTTTTTTTTTTTTTGTATCAGTTAGCACCTGGTGCTAGAGTTCGTGTATGTTGACATTTCCTCTTTCAGATAATGTTTTGTTGTTAAGAAACAATTAAATTGTTCTATAACTTTTCTCCTTGTTAACTGGCTGAGCAAACAGCAGAGCAAGGAAGGATTTTAGATTGAATGTGAACAAGTCAGAACTTTGGATTGTGGTTCAAGGGTTGGACTCCAGTTCTGTAAATTGTGTCTTATTGCTCAGGCTGGAACATTTCTGAGATAGCTGTAACACTATTATTGCTATTTTTGTATGATTTATTGAGGTTTATGAGTTATGATGCTGCAAGCAATTTGCAGCATATTAACCTGAAAAGGATCTTATGTCCTAAATTTTAACATTCTCCTTGCAAATAAGTAATTTCCTGTTATGCATCTGAAAAAAAAGATTGGGGCTTGGGAAATTAAATATGTTGATTTAGTCTGGTGATGAGTTTTAAGAACTTGACTAAGCGGATGTTGCAACTTCTTCCTGGAGTTCTAAGCAAGTATAAGACTATCTGTCTGCCTTGCCTATACATACTGAAGATGGTGTCTCAATGCTCTGTGCTTGTTCCTCCTCTCAACAAGGGCTAAAAAAAAGTGGCAACAGTCTGTATGTCCTGATCCTTTATAAAAATAGCTAGAAATCTGATCAAATGGACTATGGTGATGCTATTTATTTTTCCTTTCAGTTTATATATCCTGTCCTTTCCCTTCCTTTCTGGAAAAGCTTTTCTAAGACTAAAACCTTGCTGTAGTGAGGTGCCCTATTGCTTGCATCCCCATAGCTCTCCCTCATGCTCGCCAAGACCGGCTAAGGGGCACTCATCAGTGTGTTGTGCTTGCAGCTGGGGACCCTGGGAGCAGGGAACCATTACGCCGAGATCCAGGTTGTGGATGACATTTACAACGAATACGCAGCCAGGAAAATGGGCATCGACCACAAGGGGCAGGTGTGCGTGATGATCCACAGCGGCAGCAGGGGTTTGGGCCACCAGGTTGCCACAGGTACGAGCCGACTCGTGTGAAGGAAGTTCTTCAGTGTGGTCTTGTCATTGACAGTAAACACCAGCACAGAATGGCTTTTTGGACAGTATATTTGCTGATTCTATTCTGAGTTGCCTTGGCAAGGATTGTCTTGATTTTTGCTTGCTCAAGCCTCTTATTGCAAAGTTTAAAATCAGCGTATTAACTTGTTTCTAGTCTTGGAGAATACTAATCTGATACTCATCCATGTGATGATATGTCAAAAGATGGCAGACTCATTTGGACACAGAAATTCCATTTGGTATCAGAATTCTTATTTGCTTGTTTCTTTTAACCATGAGGATGGTCGAATGTTAGAACAGGTTGCTTAGCCATATTGTAGAACATGCAGCTGTGAAGATACTCAAAACTTGACTACACAAGTCCTTGGGCAACCTTACCTGGTAAGAGATGCTCTGAGCAGGGGGTCAGACCTGAAAACTTCCAGAAGTCCCTTTCAAACTGAAGTATTCTAACAACAAGAAAGGATGGAGATTTTCAATATATCTTCTATGTCAGGGGCTCTCTTTATCTGTATTTGCATAGAATGGTGAGGCCATAATCTCTGGTATAACAAAGGGAGGCAGAAAATGAAGAGTCTGTAAATTATTGGATCACAAAAAAAGGATGTGTAGACAGATCACTGTTAAGTCTACAGTTTTTGTTCTTAGAACCAAATGAAGTGCTCAGATTTTTAGAGCATATCACTAAGGTGAATTACTTTTCCTGAAGCAGAGAACTCCCAAAAGTGCACCCAAAGCCCTTAATTTCTTTCTAAAAATAATCTTGGGGTGTCAAACTTGTGAACAACTGATGTAATTCTACCGCATATTCACTTTTGCATTGGAGAGGAAGCTGTCTAAGTTGGAACATTGGCCAGATGAGTTCAGCTTTAAACTATAAATAATAGAAATCCATGCTTCATTACATAGGTTGAAACAGTGTTAAATGATTTAATGGTTACTTCCCAGACGCACTGGTAGCTATGGAAAAGGCCATGAAACGGGACAAAATCATAGTGAACGATCGCCAGCTGGCGTGTGCCAGGATCGCCTCTGCAGAAGGCCAGGATTACCTGAAGGGAATGGCAGCTGCTGGGAACTACGCTTGGGTCAATCGCTCTTCTATGACTTTCTTAACACGACAGGTAGGAGCAGAGCTCTCTCAAAATACTCCAGTTTTTGTGTAAATGTCCTGTTTTATCCTAGACACATGAAAAATGCAGCAGCTGTAGTATTAAATATAACTCTCACTTTTGTGCTTCTGTAAGCTGCATTTGCTGGACAGACTTGCATAAAGCTGCGGAGATTGCAGTCAATCTAAAACCTCTCAACACCAATGAATTGCACTTTCAGAAGCCACTGAAGCACTTTAAAAGTACTGCCTCAAACTAAAAGAAGAGGGTGAAAGAAAACTGTTTTTACCCTGCTGAATCGATCTTGTCAGAGTTGCAAAAATTGATGTAGTTTATATCCAGTTACATTCCAGCAATACAGTTGCCAGTGGACAGATAAATGGCTTACTGCAGCCCAGTTTCAAGCCCTTCAGCAGGTTGTATTCACTTCCATCGTTGCTGAATGTTCATGCTGAAGGAGGGTTTCTTATATGTAATGTCAAGTGTTTAGATTACTGGCTTATCACTAAGAAATACTTCCAAGCAAATGTGTTGCTTTCAGTTCCTAAAAGGATTAGAAATCTTCCACATCTACACAGCGTATATATTTTGCATTTTAAGGCCCAACTTACTCTCTCTTCAGGCCTTTGCCAAAGTCTTCAACACTACCCCAGATGACCTCGATATGCATGTTATCTATGATGTTTCTCACAACATTGCCAAAGTGGAGCAACATGTAGTGGATGGAAAAGAGCGGACGCTGCTGGTGCACAGGAAGGGATCCACCAGGGCCTTCCCCCCTCACCATCCCCTTATTGCTGTTGATTATCAAGTAAGTTTAACTGTGGAAAAAAAATGATTGGAAGATGCTTTTGGGTGAATGAGCAGTTTTAGGGTAGCTAGCAGATCTAAATGCTCTTTTGAACTAATAGCACTGGAACCCTAATGAGGTGCAGTGTTCTGCTTGTCTGGGTATTAAGTCTTTGGGATACTGAGCTCCCTCTTCTACACATGCAGAACAGTTGGAAGATCATAGGCAAAAAAAGAGAGTTTCATAGCTAGGGCAGGCTGCAGTCACTTTGCATGTCTCTCTTGGCCACAAGTCTTTTCCTACTCTGGCCAACATTCTTCAGCACAGTTAGTTCTCCAGAGTCCTCAATGCTGGGCACCTAAGGCAAGTAGGGATGTTCTGAGAGCGTGTGAACCTGACCTCCTTTTCCTGGAGATGCAGTTCCCTTCAGGTACTTATTAAGAAAGAGTTTTATAGGCATGTTTTCTTCAATCGAGGCTGTTTTGCACCCACAGCTGACTGGGCAGCCTGTGCTGATTGGTGGGACCATGGGTACCTGCAGCTACGTCCTTACTGGCACGGAGCAAGGCATGACAGAGACCTTCGGAACTACTTGTCATGGAGCTGTAAGTTCAGTTACTTCAGGGACAGTTTGGATTGGGACTAGTATCCACAAAACAAGGTTGTTGATCATCTGGTGCGTGGTTTAATTGGTAATGTAAGTACAGTAGCCAGGAGGAGTATAGGGCAGGAGTCCTCTTTTTGGTCCCTCACTGATTAGTTTGGACTACTCCTGCAGAAAATTATGGGATGCTTCCTTATATAAGGGAGAGGTTAGGATGGAGATCTGAAGGATGGTGTTCTGTTGTCTCCCCTCTTGTTTACAGCATGAGACAAGCATTTTTGAGGAAGAGAAAGAGCTCCCAAATTCTCCAGTAAAACTCTGGGCTGTGAATGTTGTCTGACAAGTGGTTTGGGTAGAAAGAGACTTGCAGAGTCTCATGCTAGGTCCATGGAACTTTCCAAGTCATCATACCAGATATGCAGCTGTGCAGGAGACATCATCTAAAGTCTAAATTCATACCAGATTTTTTTGGCTTACTATGATCTGTGCCTTAAACACAGAGTAAAAACATTAGCTTTTAATATAAATTGACTTTTGAACACGTGCTGGATGCAGCAACAGGTGTTGAACCTCACTGGAGAATATTCCAGGGAGATTGTCCCAGAAATCTACCTCCTATCAGCACATACAGCAACTTGCAGTAGTAATTGTAACACATTCTCTTTCGTTTCATTCAAGATAGTTGGGAATGTGGCTTATGTGTGTGTATTTATTCGGTTGGTTTTGTTGTTTTGTTTTTGTTTTTTGCCTTTAGCACTAAAGAGTTCTGATTTCCGCCCCCCCCTTCTTGCCCCATCCCCACGCCCTATGGCTACAATAAACAGAACTAACTTAAAACTATTGTCTAGGGTCGTGCACTGTCTCGAGCCAAATCTCGACGTAACTTGGACTTCCAGGATGTATTGGACAAGCTGGCCGACATGGGCATTGCCATCCGTGTTGCATCTCCCAAGCTGGTTATGGAAGAAGTGAGTTCAGTGCTTTATCTGAGAGGGGAAAGGGGGTCTTGTTCCTTGGTTGAATGATCCTCATGTGATTCTTGACATGTTGAGTTATCCTTGGTACACTAAATGTGCAGCTTCTCTGTTTCCTTAAAGAGCTGCTCACTTTTGTGGGAGATAATGTCATGCTTTCCCTGTCCCTGAAGTCCTGCTGCAAAAATATGTGCGTGACAGGTTTGGGAGGAAATGTTGTGATTTTGGTGGTATGGGTCATTTTCTTTGTTTTTTCTCTTCTACCTTGTCATAGGGATAATTTACTCTCTGTACTGGGAAGACCTCACAAAAAAGCATCAAACAGCTAGATTTTTGTAGATTCACTTCCTTAGGTGATCCCATGACTTTAAATTCACTGTAATCTGTAGCTGCAATTAGCAATGTATGAGAGAGCACTTTCTTAAGACCTGGAACATTATGACTTCTGATTCTTCTGTAGTAACATCATGGAATGCATTCTTGCTCACAGCTTCACTCATAGAAGTGTGTTAATCACTTTTAACCATGCACTTATGGGTTTTGGTGTTTGTACAAACACGTTCACTGCATTCACATCTGTTAAGAGAAGCTTCCTTGTCAGAATGCTGGAGGCAGAAGCTCCAAAGTGCAACCCTTACTCCAGGCAAAAACAGGCTGTGAAGATCTTTAAGGCTGCCTCCTGTAAGGAGAAATTTGGAGTGATTTCCTGCCAGATACAGAGGCCTTCCATTCTCTGCTCTTGGTGGGTTGGATTGTCTGAGCATACGAGAAACTAAGCCAAAATAGCAGCATTTTCTGGAATATCATGGAATTTTACTTGTAAAACCAAGCACCTGACTCTTAACTGTGAAAAATTGCTGAGATTCTCAATCATCTTGCCAGTTCTCTTCCCCTTCCTTCTTGACCCTCAATTAATATTCTACACAGAAAAGAAGGGATATCAAAGGCCTGTTGCTCTGCTCTAACTTCCTGTTGCTCTGCGTTGTTGATAGTTTTGTATCTTTTTTTCTCTTCCTTTTCCCCTTTCTAGGCACCAGAGTCTTACAAGAACGTGACAGATGTGGTTAACACCTGCCATGCAGCTGGCATCAGCAAGAAAGCCATTAAATTGAGACCTATTGCTGTAATTAAAGGCTAGGAACCGACAAGGCTGCAGAAACCTACAGACATCTCCAGGCCTTCCACAAATCTGACTAGAATCTTCCCGCACCTCTTGGACTCTGTAGGATGCTCAGATACCAACCACGTCCATGTCCTGGAAACACAGGCACTTGAGGATGCCCCTCTCTCTAACCACTCCTAGAGAAAATTAGTGCCCCCCTCGCCTTTCCTTTTTATATGATGCTCTTTTCTTATGATGAAAGAGCAAAAACTAGTTCTGATTTTATATGCGGTCCTTTCCCCAGCTGTGCCTGGTGATCCCCCCGATGGGATTTCAGATTCATCTGAGTTGCCACCAATTGCTGTGCTGCACCTCCCTGAGCAAGGAGGGAGCACGAACCAGATGTGCACCCAGGGGCCTGCAGCTCCTCCTGCATGCAGAGCCACCCTGGCCGGCAGGGCACAGCACTTTGGGCAGGCAGAGGTGCCCCTCTTCGCAGATGGTTCTGTGCATGGTCTACACTGCTGCGCGTATTGTGGTAATTGAGTAAGAAATTCCAAGCTGGGAGAGGTCTCCCTGTTGAGAGGGAGTAGCAAGGCTTGAGGCAGAGCCCTCTCCTCTTCCCCTCCCTGTCCCCTTTAACACTTAATGACCTGCTGTACCGGTGCGGTGCAGGGAGGTGCTCCACAAAAGCTTGTGGAAGTGCCAGTAGGATTGAATATGTTGCTTCCAAAGGTTTTGTTTGCCCTGTAAAAAGTTGTGACTTTACAGCTGATAGAGATGTGTTAATCTGACATCTTGCAAAGGCCTGAGCATTCAGCAGTTGAATCAGATGTTGCCCACTGTGTCCTGCAGCGCTCTGCTTTGAGTCCACCTGCGAGGATAGGCCTTATGTGGTTTGACTGCTCTCAGCCAATTATTTTTCTTCCATGTTCATTAATTTAGACTGGATGGGGGAGTGCTGCTTATCGGAACCGGAGTACGTGGGGGAGCTTATAAATAAAATGGGAAGATGGATGCTGCAGTGTGTCTGTGTCATGTTTTGCTGTGTTACCACAGTGTCTGTTGCCCTGTGTGTACCACATCCTTGCAACTGCTGGTTCCGCCTGGCTGCTGGGGGATGATGCTTGGCTGTAAGTCTGTGTGCGGACACAAGAGGGCGGGCGGAGGAAAGTAAAACCTGAAGGCAAGACAGCAGGA